CTCACTCAGTAATCTTCACACCTGCTCTCACTCAGTAATCGTCACACTTGTACTCACTCAGTAATCTTCACACCTGCTCTCACTCAGTAATTGTTTCACCTGCTGTCATCGGGAATCTTCACACCTGCTGTGACTTAGTAATCTTCACACCTGCTCTCACTCAGTAATTGTTACACTTGCTCTCATCAGGAATCTTCACACCTGCTGTGACTTAGTAATCTTCACACCTACTCACACTCAGTAATCTTCCCACCTGCTCTCTTTAAGTAATCATCACACTTGGAAACTGGACACAGTTCTCCCACTATTGTTCAGATCCTTGGATTTATGTTCAGTCCTCCAGTGATTTTTTTTTTGCACCGACCAGATTTTATTTATTAGATAATTTTGGAAATATACCTGCTGCCTATATGTTTAGGTCCAAACACCTAAACATTAAAAAATGGTAGCAGGTTTATGTACAATTTAGGAAACTAGATTCTGAATATTTGAAAATCACAATTAAAAATGGTGGGTTGCATTTTACATCAATAAAAATAGTATTTAAAAGAGCTATCTGTGACAGATAAGCTATTGWTGACTTTTCCACAAAACCCCCACTTTAAAAGATCTGGTCTGGACTAAGATACTGGGCAGAAAGAAAGGCCCTAACATCTTTACAAGTGTGTGCCCGCGTGTGTGTGTGTTTGTGTGTTTGCAGGGAGCTCCCTATAATTTATTGGTTGAATGTTGTGCACAAAGGCAGGAACATGTCACAGGCTGCTTGTTGAAACAGCAGAGAAAACAGGATCAGATCCAACTGCTGAAGGATAAATGTGGGGGCAGGGCTAAGCATGGTTTGAGTTGGACTAACATCCAATGACTGAAGTTTGGAACTGAAACAGGAAGTCCTTTCATTTTTAAATATACATGTTTATTATTTAATACCACCCTGTGGAAGAAACTGCATGCACTGTCCCTTTAGTTTAGAAGTCTCCAGTCAAGTTATTTGACAATGACAGTTTTCTCATGCCAAGCCACCAGAACGTCATGCACGGAGAGGCGGATCTGTTCGTGCACACCCCCCTGTGTCACCAGCTCAGGGGGGGCCATACTCACAGAACTCTCAGAAACATCGGTTTCTGCAGCGACCCCGAGCCCCACCTCGTCATCGTAGGCCGCCGGGGCTTTGGGCTGGGCCGTCCCGTAATCATCATATGCCCCGTAATCGTACAGCTTTTTGTCAACCTCACCCAAGTCCAACTCGTTTAGGTCGTACTCCTTGAAGTCAAACGTTTTGGCACCGGCGTCCGAGCCGTCGCCCGTTTCGGGCACGGCGCCCGGCTCCGGAGCAACGGGAGGGGCCTCGGTGACAAACGCACCGACAAACTCCTCCCCCACAGCCTTCCAGGTGTTACACAAGCAGGGAGGAGAAAGTGATGGTGAGGAACCACAAAGACAGAAACGTTAGTTTAAAGTGACAGTTCAGCTCTTTTTAAATGGGATTCTGTGAAACAATTGTGAATAACTAACATCTTACCTGTTGAAGATAACTAGTTTGGAGAAATAAAGTACAATTCTGATTAGCTTATTGCTAATCTAAACAGTTGCTTTGTCTTAAAATAACGTCAATCTCAAAATGTTTTAGCAAGTTTTGCTTTATGAACCTTAACTTTGCAATTTAACAGGTAAAAAAGACATTTTTTTAGATTTTTTTTAATTGAAGATTTTTTAAGACAGCAGCAATCCATATTAGTCTTAATCCAGCTCAGATTAGCTGTTTTTAAGTTCCTCAAATTAAAAGTTATCTACAACAGATAAGATAATGATTGTTTACACAGAACTCCATTTCCAAAGACCTGAAGTCTCACTTTATGCAACTAAAGCAAAGAAATCTACTTTTTCTTGTTAATAAAGCAAACAGTATTTGTACTGAATATTAAATGCAGAAAATTGTAAAAGTAACAACAATAACATCTTAGCCATTTTACATTTTTTACATATTTTTGCCAATTTTTCAGGAGCCAAAATAAAGGTTTTGAAAATGTTTCAAAAATGAATAAGATGTTTTTGTTTTCACTGATGCATCTTTATCTCAGAACAACAACAGAACTGAACAAGAAATCGTTTTGAATAAATGATTATTCTGAAGTTAAAGCAGGTTCTGTTTTGGCTGCAGCTCTCCAACCACAGCCGCTTGGCAGAGTTTGTTTGTCTCGTTCCGCACGGTGCTCGCCGTGGGTTTGAGCTCGGAGCGGGACAGAGCAGATGCAATTACACTTTGCTGCTGGCAGAAGTCCATCCTGCCAAATGAATCATTTAGAACAGGCTGTGTAATCCCATCTAATTTGTCCTCGAACGCAGCAGACAAAGCAGGATCAGAGCAGACTGTGGGGAAGTGTTAGCCTCGTCGATCCTGGTTCTGTTTGTCACAACTACTGATCAGAACCAAGCAGCTGAGGTGATGGACAGCAGGACATTAATCTCAGAATTCTGACTTTAATCTCAGAATTCTGACTTTTTTTCTCAGAATTCTGACTTTAATCTCAGAATTCTGACTTTAATCTCAGAATTCTGAGAATAAAGTCAGAAATCTGACATTAATAAATAAAAAGGCTAAACAACCTGATAAAGAGGGCTGGTTCTGTTCTGGGGACGACTGTGGAACCTCTGGAGATGATGGTGCGAAGAAGGATTTTACATAAAATCAAGAACATTGTGGACAACCCTGACCATCCTCTTCGGCTGTGTCCAAAACGACAGGCCGGGTCCTCCGGAGGACCCAGACTACCCAATTAAGGTGGGCCGGGTCCTTGGTAGACCAGAAAAAAAAAGAGTCTGTGAATTTGGACGGTCTAGCGTCCCGTCCACCCCGGCGTACGTCATGTCACCTAACAACTGTGTCGACGTTAAAAAATATCACAAAACTATAAAATTAACTTAAAGGTAACATTTGAAGAACTAATTGACCCGCTGTAGGTGCATGTTTATTTCACGTTTTTTATGACAAAAATAATATTTAAAAACATGTCTATACAAATGATAAAAGTATTAGAATTACAACTGCTAAAAAAAATATTTTTATATCGCCATATTTTTATTTAAAACGTATTCTTTTGTCTCGCTTCGTCCACCATTACTAACTTAAAAAAATCTCTGGTCAGGCCACAAAGCATTATGGGATACGCTGGGCCGGGAAGGATCCATCAGACCTGTCCTTCGATTCGGGCCAAAGGAAGGACGTATTTGTCGGCCGCATCGGAGGAGTCTTCGGTTTTGGACGTCCTTCATCGCGGCACTGTGCCGTATGAACCGATGAATTCGGCCTTCAGAGGACCCGTCCTGTTGTTTTGGACACAGCCTTCATCAGACTGTCATAGACCATAGCATCTACAATAAGTTTTTAGTTAAATGAGTTACAACAACACCTAATTTCCCTCTGGGATCAATAAAGTATTTTTGAATTAAATTGAACTGAATTGAATTAATCTCAGAATTCTGAGGAAAAAAGTCACAATTCTGAGATTAAAGTCAGAATTCATTTTTTTATATTTCCAGTGGCTCTAATCCTCTTCCGTATAAAGGTGTATGTTCAGGTCAGAGGCGAATTAAAACCAGATTTAACCAATAAAATGATGATGAATCACCTCTAACCAGGAGGATGAAAACTGATCGGTCAGAACATGCATGATGTAAACGTGTCCATCACTTCAGCACCAGGCTTTCTGAGACACACTGATTCCTCTGAATGAGTGTGTCTTTATCTCACACCAGCTCTCCCTCCAGGCTCACAGCTCCAGAGACACCAAACTGTGGCTTTTTAAAAGGACAAAATGAAAACAGGACGTTACCTGGTGGGGTCCGCTCGTGGCAGCGGGGGTCTGAGTCTGAGTCTCATCTACAGTTCCGTAGTCAATGTCTGTATTGTAATCTCCCTCTACATTGTTTAGCTGAGGGGTGGTGGGAAGAAGGAAAGAAGAACCTGGGTTAATCAAAGGTTTTTATTAGGAGGTGTTGAAGGGGCTCAGCTACACGCAGGCGGTTAGGGGGCGGGGCCTAAGAGCCATCAGAGATTTTCCTTTTATAACCGAAGGCAGGAGAATCTTGATGGCGTTTGATCTTTTTTTCTTTTAGATGAATGTTTACCCTAGAAGCGCCTCTGTGTGGCGCTGTGGCCTGGTAGCCAAACATCCTCGACCTTTTAGCAGACGAGCGTTTGGCGGGCGAGGACCTAAAGGGCTCCGCTTTACTGACGGACTTTCTGCTCGTCTTCTTTTTCACGGCGACACTACGTTTCTTTCTCTGCAAGAGGCGGCGGCGACAGAGAACACCAGGAAGAGAGTGATTTAGGAGCAGCCACGGCCACACGACATGTAGAAGAGCTGCAGCTGATCGGGATCAAACACATCTGGACAGGGCTTACGCAGATCAAGTTGGGTCATAAGGTTCGTTCAAAATAAAAAGGTTTTGAAACTGAAAAAAACTGCAAAACTTATATTAGAAACTGGAAAAGTTTCAAACATCTCGTTTTTTTGGTTTCAATTTTTTTTTGTTTCAAAAACTTTGTATTTTGAACAAAACTTAAGACCCAAATTTAGCTCCATAAAGGCTCAGCTCTTCATGGCTCACACTGAAAATTTACTCTTTACGTTTACAGAGGATTAAATCAGGTTGTTGTAAAAGTGAGGCTGATTTATAAAATAAAATACTGATAATGCACAGTGTATTCAGTGTTAAAGACTTCTTAAAACAGAAAAACAGACAAATAAAACTTATTTTGTTTTCAGATGCTCCCCCAGACCCTGATGCACCAGAACTGCATGACTTTTCCAAACACGTGCCTCAAGCTGTGCTGCTGCGCAAACACCGTCTCTATTCACTGACAGAGTTTGTTCACATTAAAATAAAGCAATTAGACATTAAATAAAATTTAAAAAGCTTATATTTTCGATTAATTACGTAATCTGTGGTTACGGTTACGTATTTACAGATTACGTAAACGATGCACAAAAAGTGGAGGAAAAACCAGAAGCTGCTCAGTTTTAGTGAATCAGGGCCTCGGATTTCTACTAAACATAAACAGTATAAACAGCAAGTTTAACATTATTACATCACCAAGTAACTGAGAGTAAACACAAACACAACACTGACACATGAGGACGGGTCGTTAACGGACAAAACAACAAAAAACACAAACATTTATTGTTCCTGGTTTTTTTTTATTTACCTGCTGTTCAGAATACTCATCAGTTGGGCTGATGGTTGGTCCCTCAGCGTAATCATAGAACTGACTGTAATCTAAATCATCAGTAGTGTACTGGAGAGGTTAGGAGAGAGAGAGAGCAGCAGGTTTTAGTCTTCAGCTGAAGCAGARCATGATTTTACCACAATGATCCAAACAATAATCATCTTCATCAGGCTGCATGTTCAAGCTGCTTCACTTTCTACTCCTGCTTGCAGCAGACAGCAGATATTCTTTAATTTACCACGTAAACGGACAAATAAAGGCATCAGAAACAACCATTAGCTAAAAATAATCCAAAATAAACAGACTGACTTTAAGTGTAACCAAACGCTGGAAGCTGCTACAAGAGAGCTGACTAACAAACAGCAGATGGATCTTTAAAGCGCTCATAAAAAGCAGAAAAAGATCCAACCAAATAACTGGCTGCATTTATGAGATTTCAAACGGAACATTTTCAGATAAAAAAGCAGACAAAATTCATCTTTGTGTCGTGGAGTTTGTCTTGTTCTCCCCTCCAACGACACAAAAGATGCAAAATGTTTCTTTGGCAACAAGCTTAAACAAAGAATTAAAATGATAGATCAGGTCTGTTAAAGAGGGATTGTATGGAAGGGTTCTAAACAGTTAATATCTTACCTGTTGTAGATAAGACACTACCTGTTTGTAACTTTTCCACATGATCCCTTTTGAAGACGTTTATCAAATCTTACACAGTGTTTAACTTGTTGCTCTTTATTTTCAGATTTACACAAAATCATTGTTTCTGATGATTTGTGGAGAAGTTTGAAATCTTTGTTTTTATATGTGTTAAAGTTCAAAGCTCTGTGTTCACTCACAAAACTGATGCTTTAAGTAAAAGCTTGGAGTTAATGAAGCTGTCAGCAGTGGTGAAAAGAAGACAGAAGAAGGTGAATCTGTCAGCTGGTTTAAACCAGCTTCTTACAACATGATGAATGTGTGTGGTGTCACTCACTGCTCAGCTATGATCCTGACAGGAATATATGACCAAACTTTCTAATCTGTGGTTTTAATGTCTGCAAAGTGACCATATAAATAAAGTAAATACAACTTTAAAGTACCTGTGACGTATATCCTTCAAATGGAAAAATTCAAAGAAAACATCTTTACATATAAGAAACTTGGCATAGAACATGATTTTAACCATTTCGTTGCATGACTTGAATATTTTATTTTGAACGTAGCTCAAACAAAGTCAAACAGGAAGTGATATCAAAGAGGAACACTTAGAAAATTAACTCTCTTGTCTTTATTTATCGAAACAATATTATCTGAACTCTGACTCTTCTTCATCTCTGATAGTCTCATAATAATCCAAAGTAACATCAGATTCTTTTCTACAGTTTGTATTGTTAGTTATTGTAGCAACGCTTTGTTTACATGCAGATATTCCCCTTTGACATCACTTCCTGTTACTTCACATGTGAATATCTCAACAAGTGTTCATCTCAGCAGCGTGAAATCTTTTTTGCAACATGTTCTCAATGTCATCTCTCCAAAAGCAATTTCATATTTATTATAAAAATTTGATGTCACAAGTTCTTTAAAGTGTTTGTGTGTGAATTTATTGACATTCTGGATTTATAACAAAATAAAAATTAATTGTATTAAAATTTTTGTCTGAAACTAAGATTTTAATGAGTGAATAAAACCAGATTGTGTCTGTAAATATCAACCAAACAGGTAAAAGTGATGCTTTTTGGTTTCTTCTTAGCTGAGGTTTCTATCACCTCCCCCCACCCTCCCCCAGTCAGCTGACCTCTTCTGGTTCCTGGGCCTGCAGGGAGTCTCTGTGGGGGGTGTCACAGTCTGGGCTGTAGTGTTCACAGTAGTCATACGCTGCTTTGGGATCAGCAACAATCAGGAGCTGCTGGATGTCGCCCTGCAGACAAACAGAAAGCAGCAGAGTTAGCAACACCTCAGCCAGCGGGATGCTCGTGTCTCGTCTCGTTCTCACTCAGAACACAGGAAGCAAAAAGACATGATTTAAAACTTTAACCACAGATATCATCTCTTTAGTTTTATGGAGTCTGGCAAGCTCTGCTGCCTTGTATAATTACACAGCTTGGCCGACACATCCCCTCTGACACGACGCAGAGAGCAAACTAACCCGACACACCTGAAAATGATGTTATCAGCTCTGGCTTTACTTCAGGAAATCACATAAAGATCCATGACACAGATAAAAGCAAGCACCTGCTGTCAGCATGTTGCAGCAGACTGCCGGTTTATTTTAAACCCCACAGTAAAAATACCAGAGCATATATTAGTTAAATATGTCAGAAACATTGAGAGTGGTTCACAACATCACAGCTGTCAGCAAGAAGGTCCAGCAGGTCTGCACCTCCTGAGGTCCTTCCTGCATCATGGTACGATTTGGTCCTTCCTGCATCAATTGAACCTTCCTGCATCCTGGTATGATACGGTTCTTCTTGCATCACTGTACGATACGTTCCTTCTAGCATCATTGTGGAATACAGAGCTTCCTGCATCTTGGGGCTATACGGCCCTTCCTGCATCACATGGAACTTCCTGCATCATGGTACCATATGTTAATTCCTGCATCATGGTATGATGCAGTCCTTCCTGCATCATTGTAAGATATGGACCTTCCTGCATCTTGGTACGATACGGTCCTACCTGAATCATTGAACAATTCGGACCTTCTTGAATCTGTACGACACAGACCTTCTTGAATTATTGTATGATACGGACCTTCTTGAATCACTGTATGATACGGACTTTCTTGAATCATTGTACAATACGGACCTTCTTGAATCTGTACAATACGGACCTTCTTGAATCACTGTACGATACGGACCTTCCTGAATCATTGTACGATACGGCCCTTCTTGAATCATTGCACCATATGGTCCTTCTTGAATTATTGGACGGTACGGGCCTTCTTGAATCATTGTACGATACGGTCCTTCTTGAATCATTGTACGGTACGGTCCTTCTTGAATCATTGTACGATACGGTCCTTCTTGAATCATTGTACGGTACGGTCCTTCTTGAATCATCATACGATACAGTCCTTCTTGAATCATTGTATGGTACGGTCCTTCTTGAATCATCATACGATACGGTCCTTCTTGAATCATTGTACGGTACTGTCCTTGTTGAATCATTGTACGATACAATCCTTCCTGAATCATTGTACCATACGGGCCTTCCTGAATCATGCAGTCCTTCTCGCATCATGGTACGATACGGTCCTTCCTGAATCATCGTACCATACAGACCTTCCTGAATCATATGGATCTTCCTGCATCATGGTACAATACAGTCCTTCCTGCATCATTGTACGATATGGTCCTTCCTGAATCATTGTACCATACGGGCCTTCCTGAATCTTATGTATCATCCTGCATCATGGTACAATACGGTCCTTCCTGCATCATTGTACGATAAAGGAGCAGCACTAAGGCAGACAGGAGGAAGCTTCAGAGGGCAACAAATAATGTACAGAATGTACACAAACCTGATGAACTTTTACACCTCCTGCTGCCTCTTTCTACCAACAAACCAAACTCTCCCATTGGTTATACAGGGACCAAATGGTCTTCAGGAACATTTGTATGTTCTCCAAATATTGTGCAAGCCTGGTTATCAATTATATTTTGCAAACATAAGGAAAACAGCCCAAAAAGGAGCAATAAAACCCTAATAAAACATCTAACAACAATGTTTTCCTTATTGTTGGAACAGTGCACCACAAAGTTTGACACAGCAGTTTTGTTATCAATCTCTCGGCCAAAGCACACAAATTGCTGCAAGACAGCAAATGTAGCAGTGAAAACATGAAACTTTTTTCAAGTTTGGAAATACAGAATCACAGATCCTTTAAGGTTTGGATTTAAATCTTTATGCACTCTGCAAAGAAAGATGAGTAGGGTTTTTAATGAGGTACAGAGAAGGCAGGTGAGCACACAGAGACACCTGAACCCAAAGACAGAATCTTGATACATTTGTCTGCAGGGAAAGCATTCATTCAAGAAAGATCGGCAAGACATCCAGGAGAAATCAAACAGGCTGCGACTTGTTAGGAGAATGTATGTGTGTATGTCTTCATTCAACGAAAAGGATGAAAAAACAGATCTATGGATCCTAAAATGTTCTCTAGAGTAAACAACATTGTGCTGAGGCATGTTCAATGAGAAAATCAGCAGTGCTTCTTGAAACCCTCTCCATGGATCCATCATCATCCTGTTTGTCTGCTTCAGCCTGACAGACTCCTCCCTGAGTCAGAGGATGGACTAATGCTTTAACCTTTTCCTACAGTTTGAATGACCGATCTTATGTTTCACCTCATCTGTGCACTCAGGACAAGAAAACCACCTCACTTCTACCATCTCAAACACACAATGAAAATTCTGTGTAACACGTTATTATTGCACCGTGGCGACTGGCTGCCTCATTACAATTCATGCTCTGACAACATAAGCAGCCAGATGAGCCTGAACCTTCATGACACGGCATAGCTGCAATTCAATGGGTCTATAATTCCACATGAATAAGTCATGCTTGGTGTGTTAATGAATATGAACATGTAAATGGACCACAGGCTGCTTCAGAGACAGCTGGGAAGCAACTCTGGAATGAAACAAGTGGGAAGCTAAAAAAAAATCAAGTCTTTTCAACAACCCAGAGATTCTAGGCTGAACTATTGGACTGGGTCACTGTGGGTCTGTTTAATCTATTTATTATTTCACAGTCCTTGCTAATGAAAACATCCCCGCAGCATAATACTGTCCCCACCATGCTTCACTATAAGGTTCTCAACAAGATGATTGGTGTTAGGTTTGCTCCAGATCTGATTTGTATATTTATGGTCCCATATGAACGAAGCACCATCCTCTGAACATTTGAGGAGTCTTTAATGTACTTTATTTTTTACAATATTTAAAGACAATATTATATGCTATTATAATACTGAAATTTCAAGTTGTCAAGCAAATTAAAGAGAACACCAAGGGGGTAAATACTTTTGCAGCCCAATCTAATGCCTCGTGTGCTGACCTAAGAACAAAAGAATCCACACTTTTATCCAAAGTTCAGTTTGATACAAGTCTTTATATGATTTATGTTGCTCTTCTCATTAACTTGGTATATTAAAGTTTTTGTTAGCACCCAGGTGTCTCCCTTCTGCAGCTCATTAACATACCTTCACAAAAACAAACAACTACCATCTAACAGGACCAAACTCACAGAAAAAAAAACACATTTTAGCTGAAGAAATGGACCCAAAGACAGGCTCCAGGACAGACAGGGGTTAAGAGTGAACAGCTGGGATGATAAAACATGTCTTCTGCAGAGAGACACCTGGGGTGTGTTCCACTGTGAAGTGAAAGGAAAAAAGCCTGGGGCTGCACAAACTCAGCTCTAATGATCTCAGGGTCAAAAGTCAACACAAGAAGCAACAGAGGAATTATCAATCCGTCTGTCCTCCCCTCCCTAACCCCATACTTCCAACCAACAGCCATCTTTCCTTCCCTAACCCACCTCTACCTCCAACCAACCAATAACTAACCAAACAACCACCTCCTCCCTAATTCTCTCCCCCCAAACAACCATCCTAACAAACAACTTCACACTTTCATTTCTTATCATTTAGATTACTATAACAGCCTTTTTACGTATCTAAACAAATCCTCCTTGGCTCTGCTTCAGTCTGTGCAGAACTCTGCGGTGAGGAGACCAGGAGAGCCCACATTACACCTGGTTTAGCCTCTAACTGGCTCCCTGTGACTTTGAGGAGTCATTTTAAAATGTTGGTTTTAACCTTCAGAGCACTTCATGGTCAGACCCCCAAATACATACTGGACCTTCTGAAGCCTCTCTGTCCATCCAGGACTTTAAGGTCTTCTAATCAAATGCTGCTGGTGGTCCCTCGAACCCATTATAAAACCTGTGGAGACAAAGCTTTTCAGGTGGTGGTCCTGAGGCTCTGGAACGTTCTCCCTCTGTCCCTTTGCTCCGATTCTACTGACTCTTTTAAGAAACATCTTAAGACATTTTTATTTAGACAGCCGTCTAGTTAAGTGTTGTTTATTGTTTTTAAATGTCCTTCATTAAATTTGTGACCTGTTTTTGTTGTTTTTAGTTATTCTGCTCTCTGTTAAGCACTTTGTGATGCTTGTGTCTGTGAAAGGTGCTATAGAAATACAGTTTATTTAGTTTTTACAACTTTTCCTACCTAACTCACTTACTATCTCCAACCAACCATCCGCATCCTACCTAATGCACTCCCTTCTTACAGCCAACCAACCAACCACACAACCAACCGACTGACCAATCAAACAACCAACCAACTGACTAACCAAACAACCAACCAACTGACCAACCAAACAACCAACCAACTGACCAACCATCCAACTAAACAAACAAACAACCGACCGACCAACCAACCAACCAACCAACCAACCGACCGACCAAACCAACCAACCAAACAAACAAACAACTGACCAAACCAACCAAACAACCAACTAAACAACCAACCAAACAACCAAATAACCAAACAACCAAATAACCAAACAACCAACTAGCCAATGTTTTTCAACCCTGGTCCTCCAGGTACACTGCCCTGCATGTTTTAGATCAGGGGTGTCAAACTCCTGTCCTCGAGGGCCGCTATCCTGCATGTTTTAGAGGTTTTCTTGCTCCAACACACCAGATTTTGATCGCTGGGTAATTAACAGGCTTCTGCCCAATTTGAAGAGTTAATTCAATCACTGAATCAGGTGTGTTGGAGCTGGAAAACCTCTAAAACATGCAGGATAGCGGCCCTCGAGGACTGGAGTTTGACACCCCTGTTTTAGATGTTTCCCTGCTTCAACACAGCTGATTTCAATTGATTACTGATTAGCAGGCTTTTGTTGAACTGCAGTCATCTGAATCAGGTGTGGCCTGTTCTCCAGATTCACACTCCWGTCCGGTAAGTGGCGGTAATGCACTTAATACAAATACGCCAAGAGCGAATAAAAATGAACAGAAGAAGAAGAATGAATCAGGTATGTAAGAGCAGGGAAACCTCTAAAACTTGCAGGGCAGTGTGCCTTGAGGACCAGGTTTGGGAAACACTGAACTAACCAACAGTCCCTTCCTCCAACCAACAGACTGACTGACCAATCAATCAGCTAACCAACCCTCCCTCCCAGATTTTTGAACTCCACAAAATGAAACAAAGATTCCTGAAATGAATCAGCTTCATTTCTTCCAGACAACAAGGCACTGAGGTCCATGTTTACACCACGAAGAGGTCAAAGGTTCCAGGCTGCGTTTCTTCAAAGTTCCTGCATGAAACAAAGCTGGTGTTTTGAGTCAACTCTCCTAAAATACCTCAGCGTGCTGTAATTATCCAGTGAGATCAGAGCATCCCTGGCTGAATCAAACAGGGCAGTAATCAGCCCGGCTGCTTCCCCAAGAGCAACATGCCTTCAGTGGAACCGCAGTCACCTGTAATTAAACAGCCCTCAAACAACAGCTACAGTCGAGCAGCAAATAAACTACATGAAGAAACAGAAACACAAAAAGATTATCGTGTCTGCACCTGATGCCAAGATCAGCAAAGTGAAAAAAACTTTTTTTTTCAGATCATAGATCTCTAGCCAGCCGTGAATGATTGACACATCATGTTTCTACATTTAAAAAGGTCAAAAATCATCCATTTTTCTATCACAAGACACAGAATATTAGATTTATCCTGCAAACTGACTGCATCCACACAGATTAACAGGCAGGTTCAGCTCCTCCGGCAGTGCTGGTGGTGTTCAGCACAATCTGCTCCTTCAGCTCAGACGCTTCGGYCGGGAACACACACAGGTATGTCTGTAGGTGCGAGCCGGATTCAGAGCGTCTGCGAGGCATGAATAGACAGCCTCATGAGACACGAGCAGGACGAGGCCACGAGGAGGGGAGGGAGCAGAGGGAGAGCAGGCAGGGAGGAAAGAAGGGAGGCCTGATGCTGGAATGAAAGACTTCCATTCAGCTCAGCTTCCAACCTGTAGCAGGTAGGGCATGAATGGACAGATACATGTTTATAAAAAAGAAAAAAAAAGATGGTCGGATGTTAAAAAAAGAAAAGCCAGGGTTTTATAGTTCTATAAGCCATTGGTTCCCCTCGTTCTGTAAATCATCTGAAAGCAGAAACTGTTTATATTTGAATGTTTACTTGATCCTGACTGATTTTAAAAACTAGAGGAGGTCTGTAGCCAAATGAAATTTCTGCACACAGAATCATCTGCTTGTGTTTTCTTTAGACAGTCATACTTTCATCTTTAAGCCCTGCTGCAGTAAAAACAGACTTTCTTGGCATCAAACTCAAAATCAACCTGTTTTCAGACTAAACTAAACATTTTTCTGCAATTTAATCCTTTATATTTGTCCTGAAAACAGATTKGTCTGAGCGAGTTCCATGTCACCACGCTGCAGCAGCTTTATCTTCTGTCTGTGTCGTGTTCTTAATAAAACCACGAAAGCCCATCTCTACATCTGGCTCTGGTTTTGATCAGCTCCACATTCCTTTTTGGCTGAATCAAAGAGGTCCAGCTGCGTGTCAATAAAAGGGCTAAACCCAAAAAACCATCCAGGCAAAACACATGAAGCGGGGCAATAAAACTCAGAAACAACAACCAGGAGATGGCAAGAACCGCATCGTTTTCTGTAAATATAAACCCAAAAGAYGCTTTAAAGGGAAATAAAATGGCACATGTTAAAATGGTGATTTGAAAGGTTTACCTGGAAAAACTCCTCATCCAGAATCCGGGTGCCGAACACAGTGATGCCGTTAGTGCTGATGGAAGCTTGGTCACTCCTCAGGAGGTCTTTGGTGATCTTCTTCTTACAGTCCACGACGACGGTGACCGTCTTCTTCTCCACGCTGATGGCCACACGGTGCCACCTGCTCGGAGTCAGGAGAAGCCGACATTAAGAATAAAAACTGGAGGAAAAACTGTCCACCTAACCAAGTTTTAAAACCTTATTTCAACCAAAAAGTCTTTTTGATCTTGTTTTCAGACTGATTTACTAAACAAGAACTGATTGTGTAAGAATAATCATCTTGTTTTCAGAATGTGTAAGATTATTTGTCTCGTTAGTCTGAAAATTTGACTCAAATTAAGTAAAAAAATTCTTCCAGTGGAGTAAGAAAATTTTACTTGGTAAGATTCTTGAAGTACTTGATTTGACTCTATTTTTCCTTATTTCAAGAATCTTACCAAGTAAAAATTTCTTACTCCACTGGCAGATATATTTCATACATTTGTAGTTTCAGCTCTTTTCACTTTACTTATTTTCTTTCTTATCTTTTCACTTAATAAAAAAAAGAAAAAAAAGAGAAAAAAATCTGTATTTTGGAACAGCTGAGTCAAAGTCCTGACCGTAGCTGAAATGTGAAATTTATCGGAATCCCAGAAACACGAATCTTAGAGCTGAAGTAACAAACTGATCATCTGGTGCAGGAAACAGTTGCTGCAACATCACACCTGACAATGCATCCTCCTGGTTTGCTGCAACCCTTCACGTTTCACAACAAACACGTCATGTTTTCATGTTTCTGCCCCAGAATAAAGAGATAAGACCGGTAAAGCTCTTTAAATGTACAGAGTTAACTGGGGTCACACGTGAGTCTGACGCCTCCCTTCCCTTCCAGCCATGTTCCGCTGCGCCTTCGAGCCCGTTGCATACCAGGCAACAGCGGACCACATTCTTGCCCCCTCACTCTGGCCTTGTTTAACACAGGATTACACTCATTAAACTCCAAACTTAATCCTCCTTCTGGGTTACTCGGCATGACAGACGTGGTGAACATTGTGGAAAGTGTGTGTCAGGATCCGGGGGGAGGCCTGCCCGGACAGAGCAGGAGACACGGAGTCAAAACAGCGTTTCTGAGGAGGACGACGAGAGCCGCCAACATCCTGCTTTCAAAATGTCAGACGTCTAATTTTATAATATTTGATTAAATGCTGTTAGCTAAATGTTTCTAAACACAGCTAAAGTGGTCCAGGCCACAGAGCTTAGTGAGAAATAAATGTGCAGCACTCTTTGGGCTTAACTCTACGGCCTGGAGGATTACTTGTCACCTATATCCAAACGAACGTTCACTGGTTGTTTGAGTCATTTTCTACATAACTGAAGGTTTAGAATCCGCTGAGGAACTCTCAGCTACTACCATTTTGAACACAAACTGTGTGTGGGGTGCTGTCTACAGAACCTGAAACTAAACATCCTCTCCACAGACGCATGGACCAACAATGGAGATCCAGCTTTTTAAGTCCAGACTCTGAGGTCCACCTTAAAAGAGATATTTTGAGAAAAGAATGAATGAAACCAACTTCAAACTGGATAAACCATCAGATGTGGARCTGCCAGAGTCCCACTTTCCAGAACTTAAAATGTAAAGACCTTGAAAATCCTCAAAACATAGGGGAGCAGGGGCGGAGCTAGGTATTTTTGCATGGGGGTTGGCACAGGGGTGGCCAAGGTGTTCTTTAGGAGGGCACTCACAAATAAATAAATCCAAGATGGCCTCCACAACTTCAAATGGCTCTAACTCAGCTGCGACTGTAGCTAAGAATGATTCAACAAAACACGTCAATTGTAAATCCCAACTAAGATAACCGCTAATGCTAATGCTAATTTAGCCATTTTTAAAAACACACAGATAAAATTAGCAAATAGTCGCCGAAAAACAATCTTTTTAAAAATCTGTTTTCAAATACAAATCCAAGATGGCTGACAGAGCTACCTTCAAATGGCTTTAATTCTAACACATTCTCACTCCCGACTCATCACATATTGACGCTTTTCCAAGGTTCCCTCTGCTTCTTATTTTTACGCATCAGGTACCCTCTTTGCGTCACATTGACGCACCAGGCATTTCCTGGTTCCCTCAGCGTCTGGTTTTGACATGTTGGGATGTAAAATATAKGGGTCTTTGAGTTGGGGTCCATGGTTAMTATTAGGGATCAGGGTTSATGKTTAATTTTAGGTASTRGGGTCAGGGACAGGATGTCTAGTGTGAATAAAGGTAATTTTAGGCTTTGGGACAGTTAGTTTTTGTGCATTTTCTACACTTTCTGAAATTATGACAACAGATTCCGCCCCATCTCATCAATAACTGATGTGAGGGGGTACCCAACGCGTCAAAACCGGACACAGAGGGAACCTTGGAAAAGTGTCACTATTTGACGAGTTGGGAGTGAGAATGGGCTGCTAATTCAGCTGTGATCRTAGATAAGAATAAACAAAAAAAATGTGGATCGTAAATCCCAATTAAGCTAACTGATAATGCTAATGCTAATGTAGCTATTATTAAAAACACACACAGTTGATAAACAGAAAAGTAGTAATAGTCGAGAAACAATATTTTACAAAATCTGATTTCAATTACAAAATCCAACATGGCTACCGATTTCAAATGGCTAAAACTCTGCAACTTTTAGAAATATTCAGCTGAACTTTGGGGTGGTGGTGGCCAAGAGCAATCGCCAAGACGTCCTAAAAGCTACACTAGCCAGCAAACAAGTTTCTTATTAAGTGCCYATCTCTGAAAKGCCACATGCAAACCCCACCCCATGTGTCAATCATTTGGGAGTGGCCAATCAGGCTCCGCCCCTGAAGGGGATAGAAAAGGATTTGCACGGAGTTCAAATCACCAATCAGAGGATTCTCCAATAACCTGAACAGGCTCCACTAAGATACAGGTCTACAGTTTAAGCCTGACCCGGTTCTGACCCGTCATTTATGTGAAACTCTCCCTTTCTCAACAGATTAATTTCCTGTAAACCCCGTGTCCCGACTCTGGACCTGCACACGAGCTGCTCCAGCTCCACATGTCTGAGTGACATAATCAGGTTTGTGCTGAAAGGTTAGCAGCTCTGCCTCTACTTGGATCAGGTCATCAAAGGGGGCAAAAAGGACGTTTACAGTTGCTCCGGCCCCCCGCTTCCTCCACCCTCTCTAAAACAACAGAGGCAGTGAGTTCATGAACGAGGTCAGGTGGCCCACAACAGCCCCGCTGAGCCCAACAATCCAAAGTCTCTCTGACTCTGACCCGCCTCTGAGCCCACTGACCCCCGATGRGACGGATAATCCAGAGACGAGCACCTGGAGAGCAACGAGGGGGGGTCGGGATTGTTTCCTCGCTTTTTTAGGAGGAATAATTTAGTGGAAATAAAAGTGTTTCTCGTTAAACACTCCACTGTTTTTAAAGAAAGGTTTTCCAACCAGTTTGTGATCAAACATGCGACGCGTTGAAGAGAAAGCTTTCAGAACATCTGGGGATTATTCAGAGTTCCGTCCRTAATCCAACAGATTTAAAACAAATATTTCTTCTGCATCATCCAGAGTTTCAGAGGACCTGAGTGTCAAAGGTCAAAGAGTGATAATGTTTCTGCCTGACACAAAAAACTCAGTCAGCTTTATAAAACAAACACCTCTAAGCATCGATTTATCTCCTGCGATCTGTCAGGACTGCCTGAGACCCGTCATGAAAACATCTGTATCTCAGAAGCTGCTCTGAGCTTCAAACTGTGGCGTGAAAAGCAGCCGAACACATTTTACTGACTTCAGGCTCTAAACGAGCCTCAGCTGTGGTTCAGAGATCTGACGTACTTCCCGTCAACCAGGTTGAGTCCTCGGAACAGGGGGTAGTCCTCCGGGGTGGGCCGGCCGCTCTGGTCCTCGTACAGGAAGACGGGCGAGCGTCCCACCTCCACGCCCAGCTGCTGGACCCCCTGCTCGTTGTAGACCGACAGCAGGAAGGACTGGAGGCCGGACTTGGGACGAACCGTGGTCAGGATGGAGAAGTCCTCGGGGAAGACTCCGCCTGCAGGAGCGGAGCAAGGACGGACAAAACAAACGGGTTCGAGGACAGGAAGTACCTTTAAAACCTCTCAAATAAACCAGACTGGGGGTCTGTCTCACCTGGGAACAACTGTGAGGTKGGGGCGTTGATCTGGATCTGTCTGGAGACTCTGTAGGCCGAGTCCGGCTGGGATGCTCGTCGGTTTGAACAGAATCCGGATGTTTTTGACACTCCTTCAGGGTAATTCTGAAAGGCTAATACTTTGAGGACGTCCACTGGTTCTGCTGGTCAAAGAGCAAACACAGCTTAGGTTAGTTCATTCAGCTGTTTACATTCTACCAACCTGCTAAATACCACCTGCATGTCTGTGTCGAGAGCTTCGCTTTTTTGTAATTAACCCCATCAAATCAGGGACTACAACATATTTGTTCAAACTAAACTAATAATATTTTAAGACTTCCGGTCTGGATCATCCAGATAATCTGAGCGAGCAGTCCCAGAGACGTGGATTCATCCTGGATAAACTGCTCTGAATCTGATTTTTACTGGTTTTTAACGAGGATTTCTTGACGTCCTTACATATTAGGATTTCCCAGCTGGTATTGAAAGAAGCTTCACTAGCAAACAGAACAAGAACCATAAGTTAAAAATCTTGGTTATTTGTTGGTACGGCTCAGATAAACATTCTGGGGTGGGGGGAGTCACACGGGGGTCAGGCTCACCTGATGGGAACAAGGAGCCAGCAGAGTTCTATCACACCTGGATAGGTTTATCCTGATAGAGCTCGTCAACCCTGAGCACTTCACATAAAGAGGCCTGTGTGAGGGTCTACAGAGACCCCTGGGAAAACTTGATCATGTCAGGACACCCCTCTGTAAAAAATCAGAGAGGGGCGGGGCTAAAGCTCTGATACAAGTGATGTTGATTTAAAAAAATCCATCTCATCAGTTGAACCCATTTCATGTAAGAACATTTGTTTAACACTGATGCTTATAAAACATGTTTCAATCAATAAAATGACAGAAAAAAATAACTTTTTTCATCTACTGTATTTTAAATTTATGATAATGGTCCCAAATACAAAAAAAGAAAAGAATAAGCCACAGGTGTTAACTGGAAGGCTGTAGATTAGCAGGTTATTTACAGCAAATAAAGTTTTCTCTACTGATTGTTTCACTATAAAATAAGAAATAAATAAAAGTGTTCCATCTTATTTCATACATTAATAAGTAAACAGTAAACAATGTGTCAACAATATGTCTGCTGTGTTACAA